CATCCACTTGATATTATTTCCCAATTCGTGAAAATCAACGATCATATTTCTTTAATATAATAATCGATTTTCAAATCCCCTAAGAATAAAGATTGCAAGCGTCAACATCTCGCTATTATCAGAGACAATTTTAACCCCCCATCCCGACGGCCACGCGGGGGTGGAAGGGACCCGATGGGTGTACCTTATCAAAATAGCATCATCGATACGCACTCACCTTCAATCAATGGATGTAATATTTTGGATTCGTTTCAAGTTCAATACACCATTCTTGAAATTTGATATATGAACTCATTACATTCAAATATATAAATGTCATTATTATAATAAAAAGATATATCTGTTTCGATTGAATCTTGTGACTGTGTAATTTATAGCATGTTATCATATCAAGAGTAATGAATAATAAGAATGCAAATAGATATATTAATTGATTGATAATTTTCATTTTACTTACCACTTTCCATCTTTCAGATCCTATCGTTTATATAACCATGTCAGCAAATTTTTTAAGTATATCAAGCATATTAAAATATACAAAAATAACTTACGATGCAAATATAGACCATCACAAATTTGTCTAATACTTTCATGTAATCATATGAGATTACAAAGAAAATAATATAGATTGTATACTTTAATTCACATAATAAGAATATTAAAAGTAAGGATGTGAAAATTAAAAGTTTTTGCATAAATGATGCCATGATTAATCAGGAATGCCCCCGGTGAGCCCTGTCGAAATAATGCTCAGTGAAATCGAGTTAAGTAATTGGAACAATTTTGTTGGGATTTTGTCACTTGGCAATGTCCCACTGTCGGATATTGATCTGTAACAATATATAAAATTATTTTGGTGTTTATTGGTTCAAGAGTTATTATCAGAAGCAAAAATATCTAACATCAAAATTTGATGTTACTAGAAAAGTTTTATCGAAGGTAAAAATGTCTAATATCAAAATTTGATATGTTACTAGTTCGAAAAAGTTTTTATCGAAGTAAAAAATGTTTAGTTTCGAAATCTGAAAACCGAAATGGGATTTTTAAATAAAACACTTATCTATTTTTGTTTATCTTCGATCATCCGTTCTGAAACACGAAATGTATACAAAATTCTCAAGTGACCATATCTCAAATCACACAATGCAAGATTAACCATACAAATTATTCACAATGAAACACGTAAAGCCACAAAATTTCATGATACCTTGCATTTGAAAGATCAAAGTCCTCAGCCTTCATCTTAAAAGAAACACATGCAACCATCTCATGACACCTACTTACATCCGAAAAAATTGAGACCCTTTCAGCCCTCATCTCAGAATAAAACATGCGGTCGTAAAATTTCACAAGACTTGACCGAAAGATCGAGTCCTCAAATCTCATCTCAAAATAACTCTCCTCTCGTGGATCGAGTTCTTCAGCCCAACTATGATTTTGAGATTGTCTTCATTCAAATGACTCATGAGATCAAACAAACCACAAAATATTTATGAAAAATCTCACACGTATTGTTCTCAGGATCAAGTCCCTCAGCCTAACCACAGAGATCTCATACCAATCGTTTTCACCTAAAAATTTATTCATTTGAAAAATCAACGGAAATATCTCTTTATATTTTTTTATTCACACATCCGATTGGTTCGCACATAAACACCAATTATGCATCAATTAAACTTGTTTAGGCTTGTTCATGCACGCTTATACATGCTTATGCACATTCATGCATGATCATTACACACATGCATCACACAGAATACATGCAGCTCAGCCCGCATGCAGCTCAGCCCACATGCAGATCAATTCTGGGATATATTTACTCGTCGTTTTTTCAAAAAAAATTTTTTCTACCTC